CTGCCTTACAGACCAGCAGCTGTACAGAGGTGGGCAACTCACCAACTGCAGTTCCACAGTGCAGGGAGAGATCTGAGTGCTGCTGCAAGACTATGGAATTCACATTTGGAAAGCTTTTCTAAGAGAAAACTAATAAAATAGAAAAAGGAAAAAAATGTCTTCCCTTCCAGTGGCAGCTGAACTAATTACACAGCTGTGACCTCTGAAGGCCTCACTGTGAAACAATACAGGAAAGTAATACACAAGAAATACCCTGAGTTAGGTGGCTAAAATTTTGCATCTGATTTTGAATTATCCAGATTCTTTCCCTTTTACACTCAAGGGAGAAATATCCCAGAGGATCATTAAAATTAGTGTAAAAAATCAACAAATTTCCCTCTAAAGGTAAATGTGACTTTTCAGAGACTGTCAAGGAAGCCCTGGGTCAATCTGGCAACTAACTTTTGGACAGCTCAGGCCAATCAACCCTACACAAAGTGCATTATCATGACCAATAGTGAGCAGGGCATGCAGAGTTGTTGGAAAGTGACCTTTCATCAGGGTCAAATCCTTATCTCTAGGCTAGTTGTCTTTGATCCCAATGAGCACTATTGCAGAGATGGTTTAATGAAATACTGGAGTGCTCCTTCACACAGTAAACAACTATTTCACCAAAATTCATTGTTTTAGTGCCAACTTCCACTTGGGTTCCATTTGTTTAACTGCATTTTTCAATTAGCCACGTAATTCACTTCCCATCTATTCACATGCACAATACAGAGCAAAAGCAAAAGATTTCACCTGATTCATAACCATGTGTCTCGAGACTTGGGCTTGGACAGTGATATGGGCAGGAGGCAGCCACCTAATCCCTGAAAAATTTCATTACCAAAAAGGCCATACTCAAGGAGCAGGAGTTGTTTGTAAGGGCAGGATTTGAAAAGTTGGGGGTGTTTAAGAATGCAAGCATGCCTAAACACAAAGTACTGTCATTTTTAAACAGAGATTGAGGTAATAAATGTAATCAGTAAGAAATGGAATATTTTGGGAGCTTGTCCTGAAAGTGCATATGATTTCTTTTGCTTGAATCGAATAATCAAACACAGGGGAAAAAACAGAAAGTAAAATGGACAAATCTTTCTGCAGCATGACATTATTTCTTACTCCAGATCATAAACTTATACAAAGTTGTACTGGAAAAACTGAGTCTGGCCAGCCATCTGTGTTATTTATTTTATCAGAGGTGCTTATGTCCATACTCAATGTTGTAGCTTCATCTCTCAAGATCTAGAAAGGAAAAGAAAATCTCTCTTGACTTCTCTCTCCAGAGAATTCCATTACTGATAGCAGGAGACACAGCATTGCTTACAGCTCGGAGAATTGACTTTTTATCATGAAACTAAATCTGCAGCAACTTCAGATTTCTGAAACTTTGATTAAAGATGGTAAGTGTCAGCTCAAGTGTAAAATGATTAAAGAGGGGGAAAATATAGGGAAGAAAAAGGTAAAAATATAAATTAAAAAATTTTATATTATTTAATAACACTTTGGGAGAGTTATTTCTAATACGTTGAGGTACATATTGACTTTCCAATGCTTAATCTAAAATAAATAATCTGAACTAACTCTATACAGATATTTTACACTTGCATAATTCAGACATTCCATTAAGACCTACATGTACCAAAGGCAACTGGGGGAAACTCTCAAATTACGAGCTCATGCTGGTAGATGGCACTAAACAAACTGGTTTCTTTGCCCTTTCATATTTATTCCTATTGTCATAGTGCAAACTTTCAGTGGTGAAACCAAGATGGGAGTCAGCATGTTGCTTGAGCTTTTACATTAATATACAATTAAAATCCATGGTCTTACATACCTGCTTATAGATAAAACTCCATAGATAAGCCTCCATGTCTTTGGTATGACAGCACTAAAGCAAGATCTTGATACCTTGTTGCCAGAAAGCTCAATCTGCCTTAAACTTGACACAGTATCAGGCAGGATGAATTGGGTAAGCCCCAGTTATCTACAGCCATGGGTTGACACGGCCTTCAGCCTGCAATTTGACCAGCTACAGCTTCCTCAGTGATTTCTGTAGGTTTTTTTGTTATTATCCCTGAAATGTCCATTGCAGGTTCTGTCCTGTCTCAGTCCTTATCAGGGGAACCAGCAGCACACTACAGAGAAGATCTTGGTGTCCCTTTTCTATGGAAAAGGCTTCACATGAAGGCCCTTCCCAATGCTGCCTGTATATCTAGAGAACATGCACATGCCAGACTCAAGGTTAGCAGTGACTGATCGCTTGAGACAGTAAGGAGGAAATCTTGTTTCCGCCAAGCCCCAAGTAATGCTGGGTTCACAAGTTGTATTTAATAATGCAGATATTCAACTCCAACAGTAGAACTGTCACCAGAAGTGGGTGAGTAGTTCCAGATATCAGAGGTATCAGACTCCCTTTCCTTCCTGAGTTATCCCTCTCACAAACTGCCCATGGCAACCTTGAACATTTCCCCCTTCCCAAGAAGGCTGTTTGGTTGCTGTCACCAGGGGGGTGTATCTGCTCAATCAGGAAGGCAATAGGCAAAAGGAGCAGATAAAACGAGCAGAGCTGACACAGACATCTCTAACAGCCCAGTCATGAACATACAAGTACAGGTATCTTCCAGCTGTTTTGCAGAAATATTTTTGACTCCAGGATGAGACACTTCCTAAGGCCCAGTAGAATTGCCAAAATCACTTCCTGGCTGATCACAGCTCATACAGGAACGTCAAAGGACATCTCCAGGCTCCATCTGTCATCCATGACAAGACACTGGTGATTTTCAGGAAAAGGAAGTGTCTGCAAAACAGGATCCTGAAAACGCAGCATAGACTGTTTAGTTTTCCTAAGACTGACAAGGTAAGAAGGCAGTATACTTGGGAGGAAAGCCAGTGTACAAGGGAAGACTGTTGTGGTGCTTTGGTTTTTTTTTAAACAAAACAAACAACCTGGGCACTTTCTCAAGATGATTGCCTTCGCTGTCTTGGAAGAATTACACTGGAAAAGATGACTACTTTCCCCATACAGTTTGTCAGTTGCTATTTATGACTAAAAGATTTGCTTCCCTATCTCCTGCACCAACACAGATATATTTTTGTGCAGTCATGAAATAAAAATAAGATTGCTTTATGGATTAAGAACAAAGAATCATTTATTCCTCCTTCAAAGTCTTCTCTTACATTCCAGCAAATTCACTGCTGAAAAACTGATAACAAAAGTCTACCTAAGGAGGCAGCAGTACCAACAGCCTTTTCCCTCCCTTTTCCCTCCAACAGATAAGTTGTATGCCTTGGAGTCTGAAGTATCCAGTAAAAAAAACAGTTAGTATCACGATCTGTAAAAAAGATAATTCTCTCTACTGTATGCTGCTGGGTGCCAAGGATGGACCTTTGAAATTTGAAACAGTAATATCCTTAAGCATTACTTGGATTGAAATATGCTCACACTCTAGAGAAATTTTTGGAAGTTACTAAATTTGATAGCTACCAAAGGGTTTTAAATGTCCCATCCACAGAAGAGAACATGAAGAACTAATCCAATTATTAAAGTATCTTTCTGCATTTGCCTGTACTTTAACTTATGCTGTTCTATTCTGGCTCATCACAACTGCAAGAAAAGGGTTGTAAAATTATTTTTGTTTTTTACAACATATAATCTGCACAGTGAAAGGCTCACTGGATCCTACCAAAGACAGTAAACTTACAAATAGGTTTGCAATAGTATGTTAAGCAGGCAGCACACAGATAAAACCTCCTAAAATTCACTTTAATGGTTTTCTGGAAGATCTTGCCTCCCTTCAGATTCCAAATGTGGCACTCAGGAGGATACACGGAAATTTAGCTCCATGCTATGGACTGAAGAAATACAGCTCTCTCTTTAGGAGGTATCTGAATTTCCCAATTGTAACAACAGTGTAAGACAGAGAACACAGCATATGCTGAGTTTGTCCCTGAACACAGACAGCTGCTTAGATTCCATGTAGAATTTTCTATTGGATGGGAGTCAGAACTGATAAATATAGAACATGATCTGAAGCAAGACAGTAATCTGCAATGCATTGGTCCTATCATCTTCAGCTCCACAACTATTTTGGAAAGTACTTAGACACAGATGGGGTCTGGACTGAGGAAACCCACACTATGCATAACATTTTCAGGCAGTACCTGAGATTTCTGGCACACTAGAGTGTCACCTAGAGACAGATGTTAAAAAGAATGGCTCTCAGAAGTTAATTTCTCTACATATGCAGTGTCTTTCATGACCAGCAAAAGAAATTTTAAGTTGTAAATAGCCTACATTTGGAATAAGCTTAGAAGGTGAGCAAAGGAACACAGTGTAACCTGCTGCCCAGTTATCAGGGGTCATGGGGATACAACTAGCAGGACAAGTTTGAAGTTCAAACACTACACTGTCGAAAAGGCAAAATGAAGCTAATTAAAATGGGTGTTTGAGAGCTGTTAATAAAACAGTTTTCTGTTCGGAAATACTTCACTAATTAGTAAATAGATAAAAATATGTAAGTTATCACATATTATTTCTGTCCAAATAAGCCATAATATGTTATTGAAGCTTTTCACTTTGATTTCAGTACATACTTTAGTTTGTTTGTATTTTGATTTTTACATGGAAGGATGCCCTGTGACATAATGACACAGTCAAAAAGGTGATTAAAATTGATACCTTAAATCCTGGTGAAATAGGACTGAATTTTGTTTTAATATTTTGAAAATAGAAACAGTTATTTGGAAGCTGCATGTCCAGCAGTCTTAATAAAATTTAACTCCTTTGCATAACTAAAAGTGTCTAAAGGTTTGTGTTCTTGCAATAAAGTGCAATTCTGACAACCACCATTTGCATTCCATGGACCAGATTTCTCTCCCAAACACACTTTAATTCAAACAGAATATGGATTTGAATAAAAACAAGCAGACTCAGAAATACGCTGGATGTTACTAAAAGACATAGCTCACCGCATTGCTTCTTTTCTTTTTTACCATCAACCATAGAAAGCTTTATTCCAAGCCTGATCACACTTTCAGTTACAAAACATGTGGCAAAAAATAACAGTTAACACGCAAGATCTGCCATATTTCTACTTGCCTCTACTCTTATACTGGACTTTCCACATTGAGGGATGGAGAATAAATCTCTCTCATTTTTTAACATAATGAATATACCTAAGGGTAGCAAATAAAGGTTTTTATTATTTTTAATTTCATTTCAAAAATCTTTTACTTTCCCCAAGCCGCCATTTGTTAGTGCAACAATCCAGCACAGTGCTAGTTGCTGAGGTATACATGGTTAAACTAATTTCACCTTCAACCAAAACTGCAGTGTTTTCTCTCCCTCCTTTATTTTTAAAAGTAATGAAAGCCATATATTCACTATTTCACATTTCTAAAAATAATTCCACTCTAGATTAAAGAATGGTTTTGTAATAATGACAGGCTGTAAAAAGCAACAGCCTTAGCTTTGATCACCCATAGAACTCCTGCTGTCCTTTTTTTTTTTTTTTAAATATATTTTGTGCAAAATTAAGTTCTGTGTAGGTCTGTACCATAATTTGGAAAAAACTGTGTATAAAATGTACTTAATTTTTAAAAACAATCTCAACATCAAACAACAGAGAAAGGAGAAACAGATCAGATACAGCTGAAGTTTTCACATGAGAAACTAAATATAGTATGTTCTTAAAGCTCCAGTAATACATTCTTCCAAAATCCAGAATGCACTTTGGTCATTATTAAACATTAGTACAGAGGCAAATAAAATACAAAATGCTTGTTTGTGTTGCTTTATATATAAAAATATTTTTATACCACATAAGTTTAAGACCCATTACTTCAAATCTTTCAAGATTCTGAAGATTAGCAAACACAGTGCAACGTTCAGATTCTTGTCACAAAATTACTTATAATTTTTCAATATGAAGCCACTATTTTAAAAACATAAAATGTAAGAATACTCGCACATGGTGATATTAATCCTCCCAAAAGAATTTGTAGAAGGAAAATTTGTTCAAAGTTACTTTGTAGAAGGAAAGTTTGTTCCAAGTAACTTAACTCTACAGGGATGAACACATATTTTTGTCACACTGAAGAACCAGGAGTCTATATGACTGGTCCATGTGGGAGGCAGGAACAGAAGGCAGAGGGAGAGGTGTGACACCCACGGCTGTGAAACCCCAGTGGAAAGCACTAGGGAATGACACCTGCTGGGGTGGTTATTTGAAGACACAAATTTGCCCAATACCAGGCTTCATGAGCTCTGCTGCTCACCAGAGAAACTTGTTCTCTGTGTTTAGCTGTTCTTAAACTTCAATGTGGTAAGAATGGCATATACTATAGTGTACAAGAGCAGAGCATCTATCTATCTTTTGCTAAGTCATTCATAGCATTCCTTTCACCAGTAAATAATTCTTGCTTAAATACTCAACTTCAACATATAATACATACTGCTCCATAGTTCACCATAATATATTCCAATTAATATACATTTATATGTATAAAGTTTCTCATTAAAAGTAACAATAAAAAGTGCACATGCACAGTCAGAGCTGCACAGAACAGCCCAGTATTTCAAATAAATACAATATTTAATTTTTATCAAAATATCATACAGCATGGTAACCATTTACAATTATTGCTCTAATAAAAGTGTTTTCAAAGAACACTTGTTGACTTGTTAAATAATACCTTATTAATATCCCAGGATATTTAAACTGCAGCCTAAATGAGTTTAGATCCTGGAATTACTCAAAATATTAGAAATTCCCACTTGTTTCTAACAGTAATATAAAATATTTCTGCTACCTATCATACTGTATTGTCAGTACTTCATGTTTTGTATATGTCTCATTTTTCTATTGCAACCAAACATCTATTGATGTTATGTTGTCCTCATAAACGACTGATACAAATGAAATATTCTAAGCAATTTTACCACACTATCAAAGGATTTCCATATAGTGTTACTGTAATTAAAAATGTCCAGCATTGGCTTCAGCTGTAATAACAGAGTAATTTAGTGTAATCTATTTTCAGGATTTCAAGTTCTCAGACACACAGTTTTTGACCCTTCGCAAATCTGACCTTTTCCAAAACTAAACAAGTAAGTTTGAAAATAAAATACAAATGTCAACTAAAATGAACATAAACCAGGAAGATGAAATAAATATAAAGATTGCACAAGACAGATGTAAACACTTCAGTTTTCCAAATGACATCCTTGAAGAGGTTGTAGCATCTGAAATACGGATTCAGTGGCTGCTTTGAGGCAGTTTTGTCCATCAATGAGTTTTTCTATAACACTGTGTTATTTCATCTTCTTTCTATACTGTCAAGATTTGATCTTCCAGAGCTGCAAAAATTAGAGCAGTACATGAAGATTACTTCTCATCTCAGTTTTCTGTTTACTAGAATTGCAATAGCAACACAATTTTTTTCTTATTATTTCATTTGCTGCATATTCTATGATACACAAAATACATTTTACATTCATTTACTTCTAATAGAAAAAAAAAATAGGTAGATATAAGCAAACTCAATGGCAAATCAAGGGCTCTGTGACAACTACAAGCTTGTGGAAACTAACATGCCTCTAAACCTAAATATTTAAATCGTTTCCAGAGTTTGTAGTTGAGATGGGGCCAGAGAGAAGGACGTAACGAGACACTCCTTCAGCCGTGACAAAATAACACTGTGTAGGATTGGTCATGGTAATACTGCATCTAATGTAATACTTTACTGCAGTGCAAGGATAGCCTGTATCTTTCTGCATCCCTTAAAGAGCTACATAGTCAGCAGTGAGGAATTAAAGAGAGAAATCAAATCTGGGATATGAAGAAAAGTTAAAGAACGTCTTGCATTATGTGTAGAAATATCTCCATGTTTATGTCTAAGAATTCCTGTAAGTGTCCTAAATGAAGTCACAAGGCCATGAAAATAAAAAAAAAAATTTAAAAGGGCTGCTCTGACAAATTATTCTTCTGATACAGTTTTAACTTATTAACCATTTTCAAACAATAAATATTCTAGTTAATACAGCTAAGAATTAACAAGGCTACAACGTATCCATCTATCACAATATTCTGAATGCCATGGTGGAAAAAAAGGATGTTTCTCAAGTACTTACCTTTAGATTAAATCCAAGCAAGTCACTGATGACTCCAGAAACAGCTGACAGGATGACAACTTGGGTGATGTTATAAAGCAGTGGATTCATTGTAAGCCCATATAACCTAAAGGGACTGTCCAGTTCCTAATAATGCAAAATAACAGAATCATTAAAAAAGCAAAAATTACACAAAGGGCTTTTTGTTCACATACATATTAAGCAACATTAGATAGTTTAGGAAGTTTTCAAATCCCAGTGGAGTAAAACATTCTCTATTATTTGGGAAATAAAAAACAATGTGCAGGAAAATATCTGTCACGTTAACTGACTGCTGACTGATGGTGTCTAAATAACCCTTCAAAAAAATTGGGAGCTACTAATCCATAGGATTTATTAATATGCACATGGAGCCAACAAAATGGAGAGCTAGGTGCCATCATTTTAGAATTCCATATAACTTTCCAGAAATCACTGTTGGTGTTGAAAGAGTGAGAGACAGTAGAACAACAAAAAATAAGAAAGCTTTTCCATAATGACAGAAGGCTACCTCACTACTATGAAAAATTAACAATATATTTCCTATTGCAATTCCCTTCATTTTCCATTAATTTTGAGACCAATTACTGATCAGCATAACCAGAAAGGATGATAAAGGAAAAAAATACTAATACTCATTTGCCTGCCAATATTTTACTTTTTTTCTATTGGAAGAAAAAAATAGCCCAAATTAATCTGCAACAAAACTTGAACAAAGAGGTTATTTCACCAATTTTCAATTACTGGTGTGTGAATATAGTTACCCAAACTTTTCTGGCCTAGAAATACGTCAAATAAAGGAAGGAAAAAAGTTTCAAGATATAAGAGTGGATTAGATAAAATACAACAACTATCCACTGCTTTGGCCCTTTAATATTTTCTAGCTTTAAATTCATCCTCATCCCTCTACTGCATTACATCCTGGGCCTTGAACAAGGCCTTATAAACCCTTTTTTAATGAAGAAGAATTTCAAAGCTCTGACTCTTCTTTCAAAAGAGGTGAAATAAGAATGAACAACCCTTTCATTGGTATAAAACTCTACTGCAAATACAAAAGATATAAAAGACATGATTCTGAGAAGGACAGCAGAGAAATTCTTTAAGGAAAAAGTTTTCAGATTTTGGATTCATCTTACCAATTTTCTGAGTAAGAAAACAGTCAGAATAGTCAATATAACCTAGTCTTCAATGAAAGCTTGAAGATCAAAAACATCCAAAATCAAATTAAAACTCATGATTCCCTTTAGCTACTGGACATGAAATACATAATTGCGCTGATCAGTAACTACCAAGAATTTATTTAAAGCTCATAGCAGGTGGCTTGAAAATATCACTTTTAGGCACATTCTCACAGTAACTAAGTGATGGTCTGAGTCTGAGATTTGTGCCACAAAAGCCATGTTCCCTACTGAAAAGGCCATGTCAGTTGATACATTTCTGGCAAGAGTAAAACATGAACACTTTTTTTGAAACACTGAGAAAAGTATGAAAAAGACGGAGCAAATCACTCTAAGGGTTGATCAGCATCCTACCACCAACTGCAGCCACCTACCTCCTCACAGCACACAAACATTTCAGCTCATGACACGATTCCCTGAACCTATTGTGCTTTGTCTAGTCTACTTTTCCAGTCTCTCCTTGAAACCAGATAATTTTCTGCATCCACAGTGTCCTTCGACCAACAGTTGCACGAATCTGTTGCCCGATTCACAGAGAATACTTCCTTTTGTTTGCTCCAAAACCAAGTCCTAAAAGCTTTGCAATCCCTTATTCTTATATCAGGAGATACAGTCAGTAACTGATTAACCAGGTTTTCCTTAATGTTGTAGCATAACCCTCAAGCTGTTGCTTTGTCAGCTTTATGTCCTTTCTGACATCATCAGTCTTCTCACGGAAAGTGAGAGCTGGCTAGGTTAAAAACCGAGTTTAAGCTTCATTTCAAGCACTACTCCTCAGCACACAGGAATCAACAGGTTAAGTGATCAGAATTGTTCAACTGGTGATAGAATGAGACCACAAGGCCTCAAGTCACCACTGCATCAACACTCAAAACAGACAACAAAATTGCAACGGCATCCAAGGGTTCATCATCCTGTTTATCCTGAAGTACCTCCTCTCACACTTCTCATATGCCGTTAAAGAGCAAAACTTACTGTATGTAATAATAATTTGCAATCCACAACAATAGCAACACAACATTCTATGAACAAGTAGCATCACTGTGAAAGAGATACAGAGCAAATTTAAACCAAAGCATACTGTACTGCCTGCAAAAGTAACACAAGTGGTTCTTTAAACAACCTAGTCTGCTTGTTACATATAACACAGGAATACTATTTTAATCTTACCTTCAGTAACTTAGTAGCAAGTTTTAAAACATTGTTTACTAGTGTCAGTTCCTCCTTCTTATTAGGCTTTTTCTCCATTTTCAAGTACAAGTTTATCTGATTTAAAAAAAAAATACAAGTATCACTGCTTATTCAGAATTTAAAGGAATTAATTTTAAAATATTTAATATTACAATGAAGTGATTACTTAGCAGGCAAATGACAGAACTGCAATGACATTTCTGCAAGCAAGTAAATTTTTTGTTTCCTTTTTAATGTTTAAGAACAAGTACTAGCTCAGCACCACAGGAAAATACAATGTTTTATGATATATAACAAAATACATTTGACATTATTTTAGCAACAACTTCAAAGTTTAGTCCAATCCACAAATTAGGCAAGAAAAACCACCATGAATGTAAGGTTTGCATAATTTCTTTTTCCTCCTTCAACAATTGCCTGAGGTTTGTTAATTCATTCCCAGGTTTTTATACTAGTAGGCAGACCTTACAAGGCTTAAAATCCCCAGAAGTTATTGAATAGACTAAAATGCTAAAACATAATTCTCCTAAAGTGTAATATCTTTTAAAAGATTTTAGTATAATTTAGTACTTCATGAGAACCTTGAGTGCAGAAAATCAATCTTTCCAGTGCCTTGAAATATTTGAAAAATTATTAAACTCTTCATTGCTATACAAGAACAGTATATTGAACATTTCAATATTTCTGTGATGCAGACTTTTTCAGGTCACTGTTTCTGAGTAAGAGTACAAATTTGCTCTCTTTCAACCTTCTAGCAATTTTGAAACATCAGCTTTCATTTTCAAACAACATATGTTTGATATTCTAGACCAGACAAAGGCTAGTTTTTTCTTTTCTGTTGCATACAGAAGAAAATCATAAGAAAAAAAAAATCTTTTAAAGCCATTAATTTCTTCTTTTAGGATGACAACCTTCAACAAAATAAAAAATGAACAGTTTAGCAATGTGCTGAAGTCTTTCTTCAGATAACACTTACCAAGCTATGGGAGCAAAGCTGCAGAAAGGAAATGATGCTACATGATGCTATGATATATTTAACTACCTTGTTGTAAGGTGGTTATCGAAATAAGGGCCCACAGACATCTAAATAAAATAACTGAATATTATCAGATTTCCCTAAAAGACCACTGTAAGATTCTTACAGATTACAAAAAATAAAAAAATATGCCTAATATATTACAAGGTATGTTAAGCTCCTGAACTATCAGTTTCATTTTAAAGTCAAATTATTCTTTCAGAGGCAAAGATATTCCAGCCTTTAAACAAAAAACTACCGATTTCAACAATTCAAGATTTATAAACAGGACTAAACTAAAGGCTCTAATTAGCAGCTCTGAAAACCCTAGGAAGGTTCAAATCTCTTTTAACAGTTCATAGAATCATAGAATCAACTTTCAGGGACGGTGAATCCACTACCTCCCTGGGCAGCCCATTCCAATGTCTGATTATTCTCTCTGTAAAATATTTTTTCCTAATATTCAACCTAAACCTCCCCTGGCACAGCTTATGATCATGCCCTACTGCAGGTTGCCTGGGAGAAGAGATCGACGCCCACCCGGTTACAACCTCCTTTCAGGGAGTTGTAGAGAGTGATGAGGTCTCTCTCCCCTGAGCCTCCTCTTCTCCAGGTTGAACAATCCCAGCTCCCTCAGCCTCTCCTCATAGGACTCGTGCTCCAGTCCCTTCACCAGCCTTGTTGCTCTTCTCTGGACCTGCTCCAGCACCTCAATATCCTTCCTGAACTGAGGGGCCCAGAACTGGACACAGTACTCCAAGTGTGGCCTCACAGTGCTGAGTACAGGGGAAGAATCATTTCCCTGGACCTGTTGGCCACACTGCTCCTGATACAGGCCAGGATGCCATTGGCCTTCTTGGCCACCTGGGCACACTGTTGGCTCATGTTCAGCTTCCTATCAATCCAAACTCCCAGGTCCCTCTCTGCCTGGCTGCTCTCCAGCCACTCTGTGCCCAACCTGTAGGGCTGCAGGGGGTTGGTGTGGCCAAAGGGCAGGACCCGGTACTTGGCCTTGCTGAACCTCATCCCGTTGGAATCAGCCCAACTCTTCAGCTTGTCCAGGCCTCTCTGCAGAGCCCTCCTACCTTCCAGCAGATCGACACTCCCCCCCAGCTCAGCGTCATCTGCAAATTTGCTAATTGTGGACTCAATCCCCTCATGCAGATCATCAATAAAGATAATAAATAGAACTGGGCCCTTGAATCAGGAGAGGACTTTAAATGTGTATATGCACAGACATCTACCACATCTATTCTGAGACTCAAAACTGGTAAGATAACAACTTTGATCAGACTATACATTGTTTTTTGCTCAACAAATGTACAAGATCAATTAAAAACATTTTCAGAAGGACTTGAACAATTACAGATACACACCATACAGTCAAAAAATGATCTTAAATTACATCAAATGACTCATACTGGTGCCTCTAAGCCTACTCACTTAAACAGAAATTGGGATATAGCCATCTCAATATTCCTTACAACTTTTGAACAAAGTCACACACTTATTTCAGAAACTGAGCTTCAGGTTGTAAAGCGTTGTTTCACCACACCATAATTAACTCCCTAATCCAAACTATTTTAATACATCTAAAATGTCTGACACCTACCAGATGAAGGACCTGTTTAGATATAAAAATATAGGTCTATACAAATTCTCACCTGCTCTGTAAGTAATATTGAGGTATTGCTGTACTTTTTACTAGTTTCAGATCCAAGAGTAACAAATCTTAAGAGAAAAAGAGTTAGTGAAATGCACCAAATTACGAGTTCCCAGTTGTAGTGACAATCAAGGAAGATCTCATGCATGTGAAGCAGCTGCAAACAAAAGAGTGAAAAAAAAATCAAAACTTAATTTGAAGTAATAATTATATTACAACATAAGACAATAGATATCTTCATAACTCTGAGAAACATTTCCCAGTAATGAATATATGTCAGGTTTTTAGGCATGTAAGAGTTTTGATGCAGTGTTGATTTAAAATTATGATTAAAAGATACAAGGTTTGAGACAATATATGTTCTGAAAGGTCTAATCAGAACTTAAGACTTTTTTTTTCATGTCCCTAAAGCAATAGAAAAAAAAATACAATCTGAGGCAATTTTAAACTCATGTTCAAACTTGCAAAGACACTATATGGGATAAAAACCAAAATATACACTCAAATGTACTAAATTTTATGTGAGAGTTATTGCTAAATTACATTCTTAAGAAAATACAGTTAGCTACCAAGCAAACACGACAGAGTTAACTATGGAAGAAACTGTAAAACCGAGTAGCTGTTCAGAAGCTGCCTTGCAGTTTGAAAGAGAAGCTCCAAGAAAACTCTTAAGCAGTAGAAATCTTCTTTAAACATAGATTTGCTTACTGAAAGATATTCCACTAGAGGGCAGGCAAATATAGCCAACAAGGTTGTTTCTCACAAAAATCATCAAGGTCAGTCTCAACTGTCTTTGCAAAAGTGTGTTTTCATGTAAAATGTTAGGGGAAAAAAAGTGTCCCAGAAATCACAATGAAAAAGGAAAGAGGACAGAGATTTAAAAAAATAATAATGAATCATAGAATATCCTGAGTTGGCAAGGACTCACAAGGATCATCGAGCCCAATTCCTGGTCCTGCACAGGACAACCCCAGGAATCACACTGTTCCAGGTGCAGAATCCACCACTTGCCCTTGTTAAACTCCACACCACTGGTGATTGCCCAGCCTCTTAATTTGTCAAGGTCATGTTAGGAATTATGCTATAAATAAGTTTCTTTAGCTATTACAGAAAAATAATCCATTAAATTAAATGAACAATACAAAATGGAGCTCAATCTTCTGAAAAGCTGTAACAGCTATTACTAGTTTTTCACTGTGGTCTTCTAGTTTACTAAAAATCACTATGCAAAAGGCACTTTAAATTTTTTTAAAAACTATTTAAGTCATGGCTGTGTCTATACAAGCAAATTTTCCTCACCTGTGCACAACAGATAAACACAACTGAGATAGTCAGTAAGAAGGCAGATGAAACTATTACATCCACAGAGCGCTGAGGACCTCGACGCTGAAAACAAAGGATATGCAGATACGTTAATGAAAACCTAATGGCATAACTAATTAGAATCACATCTTGAACCTGTGTTTCATCATGGCTCACAATGTGGCAATCTAAGTTGTATGTAACATACTAGATCTCAATAATATCAATACAATTGAATACCCCTGAAGGCACATGAGATGAATTCAGATGCAAGCATTGAAAGATAACTGTGAGAAAAGAAATTTTTCACCACTTGTTCAGTCGGCTCCTTCGTGATGTGTAGTAACTTTTATTTAGGCAGCATTCCCCGACATAAATTTGACACAGTACTGGGCTTCAATCCAGAGTGTCAAATCAGTGCTAACAAAAGGTTTCTGGACACCAGATCACAACAGGATATCAAGATATGACTTCATATGGTTGGTATTTTTCACCACTTGCCTCTTTTTGACATACAAGAGTTGTTTGTACCCACTGAGTTTTTTTTCTTTTTTTTTCTAGTTAAAGAATTAGACATCCAGTGCTGCACTGAAACCTGCACAAGTTATCACATACATTTATTTCTCAACTTTATTCTCCAGACATGCCACTGTATAAAAGTGAGAAGAATGGGAAGTGTATACATGCAAGGTACAACCTTGGAACTTGGAGAAAAAGATAGGAAGTTTAACTATTGAAAAAAATTGAAGTGCAAATTCCTAGTGCAGGGATGCACACAGTACTTCTGTAGTGAGCTGGAGTGTTTGGCCTGCACAAGACTTGAAATATGTCTACACTCCTGCTCACATCTTCACAGGTGGACACATGTACAGGAAGGGTAATATGCAGGTGTGTTTTGGACAAATGCTCTGTCAGTATGTGCCAGCAGTACCACTGCAAGAAGACAGCCCTGCTCCTTAGCTGCTTGTCTCCATTCCTTGCACTGTGCTGGCACAGGCATTACAGAGCTGCCCAGTGAGCCAAGTAAAGTAACAGATGGAGGTCAAAATTACTGTTCTTGACTGGTTATTTCTCAGTTGGATCAGTTCCCTATGCACCTGCCTCTGACCACTGACTGTTTTTTTGTTAGCCACACTATTATACAAATGTTCCTGGTGTCATAAGAAAAAGTGGAATATGTAGATGTGGTTGTGAGGAAAGAAGGCAAGACATTCTCTCCCCAACAATGCTACCATACTCATCAAAACTACATTCTATTATCCAAGTGATGTTATCCTCCTTTCACCCCAACCAGCAAAACACTACAGACTACAAAGAAAAAGATATGTGTCTCAAATGTAAAGTTTAAAGAACATCTCTTTTTTACAACATCTCTAACAGACAGTTCCATAACTCAAGGGGGTGATGTAAATTAATCACCTCAATTCCTCTTAAAATGATGCATCTTTCAAATTTAAGATTTTATTTTGCAATAAAAATTTTGCTTGCTTATAATTCCCCTTTCCACAGTCTCCAGTCTCCACACTCCTTAATGTTTTCATAAACCTTTTCCTACTTCTAAAAACTACTGATAGCAGATTTCAGGGATCAAAATGTCTTACGAATAATACATGGGCATAATTTGTAGCTTCACCTGGCGCACATACACTCACAGCACAAATATATATAAAAATGGTCTTGCTTTACAGATTAATAAAGATTAATAACACAATAAAGTGAGGCCCTTACAATAAGATATTGTCGATATTATACTACAAGTGTTCAGTTTTCACCCAACATACTCAGCCCAGAGACTTTTCTGCTAGCAGTACTAAGACAAGACTCCAACTCTGAATACATTCAGACTTTATTCCAAGGTGAAGATCAGACATTTACTTTCTCACAATCTGCAGACACTGCTGGTGCAGGGTCACTAAAATGAAGCATATATGGGAGACATGCACCAATAGTAAGTGCACAGGAGATATATATACTCAGACTAGAATACCAATCTTCCATTATTAGTATAGGAGATATTTTATGTTAAAGCATAAATACACGTTGTTTTAAAATTTTTAAAATGTATTAAAATTTTATTAAAGCAAAAATATACATTATTTTACCTTTAGATAGGACCTGAGAGAAAGCCACATTTTTATATTCTGTACTTTCTTCAAACGGAAGTGAGGAACCTCCGATTTTCTTGCCCTTCTGGCAGATGTTAGATGACCAAAAAGTTTGGCAAAGAGTAGCCTCTGCAGAGAAGAAAAAAAAAATTAACTGTTAATTGATTTTCAGGGGTATTAAAAAAAAACAAATGGAGAAAAGGCTTCGCATAATATGTCAAACTAATGTACAGTGTACCAGTGTAAATTAAAATATGTTAATATAAAGCAGAAATAAGTGCAGTATATTATTAAAACGAGGAAATACACTAAACCTTTTAAAAGTCTCCATATTCTAATGATAAAATTTAGCTACACTTCGAGTTCCTCTCTTCAAATTTTAGACAACAGAGCCGCTAAGCTTTTAAAATTTTGGCAAAAAAAACTCAAATCTGCCCATTATTTACATTAGCGAGCATCTGTATCACAGGAGTTACTTTCAACAGCAATTATAATTATTAGAAGTAGGTTAATTCTATTTTACTGTATTACATCACATATTTTGACCACAATTTAAGAACAGCAAGTATAAAAAAATTTTCTTTTGCAGACCAATAAGTGTCTATATTCTGCAGCTAATAACGTTGCTCTCTTAAAAGTTTAAATTGCAATAACAAGCAACAGAAGAACAGGTGTATTAGTTCAGACAGAGCTGTCATGATCTCCAGCCACAGAAACAACCTAACAACAAAGCAGGCAGGGCTCTTGGACAGGGTCTGAATGGAACCATTTTGGATGCCCCACCCCTGGAAGTGTTCTCAGCCAGAATGGATAGGGTTTTGAGTAACCTGGTCTAGTGGAAGGTGTCCCTGCCCATGGCAGGGGGGTTGGAACAAGATGGTCTTTAAGGTCCCTTCCAACCCAAACCATTCTATGAATTAAAGGTTTTGAACGAAACGCACTGGTAGAACAAACGGCAAATTTATAGAGTTCTTTTATTGAAGCTCCTTCTGCTTGTGGAAGACTGAGACAAAGTGGGACATGACTAAGCATTGGGTTAATGCATTCAGCCAGTTATCCCTCTGAAATGCTCTCCAGGAAAAAATATGTTTAGGTACAGAGACTTCAGTCCATTGCAACTGAATCATCTAAACTGCAAGCCCACTGAAGTATTTGTCATCACTGATCTATGAATCATAGGGTGCTGAAGAAAACAAGTTTAAAATATCCAAAAAGTCAAAAAATGCAAACATCAAGCTTTGCTTTGCTTCGGATGAAGCCTCTTGGTTTGCTGTTCGTACCTGTTTATACGTCCTCTCTGCTACACATAGCAAGAAAAAGAAAATCCACACTAGAGACACACGGACCACGAAACTTATAATAACCATTGAGAGAACCAGAATGTCTCCATCTGATCCAAATGCAGTCATGCAGAGTTCAGCAGCAGAATGTGTAGCTAGTTGTTCTAAGTCTTTAGCTTGGGAAAGTCGAAAGACAAAGGGCGTTAATCCCAAGATTAAAGATATGACATTTCCAAAAATCTGATAACCAATTCCTGGTATATAGCTGTTCACCTAAAACCAAAAGAAAACAAGGCATATTTTTAAGTTTGGAATGAATTTGGTACTAATTCAATAAATAAAATATTAATGTTTCTGTCTTATCACAAAGAACACTTTATAATCTGATAAGTTATATGAAAACTTCAACCAAGCATCTTCATACTTTACTGTTAAAAAAAAGGAAGTCCTCTAAGAGCACTTACTGTACAGGAACCAGGACAAACAATTTAAAAACCCAACAACATAACATTGTAAATAAAATCTGGTGCATGTTCCTGTACTGAAAATTCATTGAACACTGAATTAGCAAAGTGCACCAATAAGACTGTCCTGCTTAGATCCTGTATGTTGCTCCTACTTGTGTTCTGGTTTTAAGTTGTAAGCTTTTTAATGGAATCAAAATGTTTACAGTGCAGACATGACTGGGGTTCTGCTGTGCTGGCTATGGCTTTGCTAAGTTTACTTCTGCTGTGGATTGTCCCCAAACCTGTGAAGTTTATGAGTCAGGTAGAGATCAGAACTAGGTTTGTGAATACATTGCTTTTTAACAAGTTTGGGATGCTAAGTATCAACTTGCCAGAACTAGGCAGAGTTAAGCTCTGCAAGAATTTTATGTCCAACCCTACAAAATATGGTCTATATTGAATAAGAGCATGACATCAATTTAAAGCTTGTCCAACTGTTTTCTGAAAAGGAGTACTAGGAAAAAGAGGGAGGACTAGTGAGATATCCCACTGATCCTCTTAGATGTTTGCTTCTTAAAGAGGAAAGCTTTTTTTTCCAATCCTAACTTTAGCATCCAAATACTCAGATCTGTTTATTCCTAACCCAACACATCAACTGATCATCAGAATCAAGGAGATGAATACAAATATTCACAGCATTGCTTTGTAACAATAAGAAAGGGTGGCTGTGTTAGCAAGTACCTAACAATGCAAAGAATTACCCAACACTCTGGTAATTCTTTTATCTGCTAATTACAAGTAAATCAGTGATATAAGACATAGAACGATAATGAGAATAACAGATACTTTACAACAAAAACCCAAACAAACAAATAAAAAAACCCACAACCAAGCAGAGCAAAGCAAACCAAAACAACAACAAAAAAAGAGAAAACACCAACCATAAGCTTATTTTTGGTAGCGCTTAGACATCTAAATACAATATTTGCATAAAGTTAAACAAATACTCACCCTGTTCATTATCATACCACTGATTTCAAGTACAGACATATCTGCTTTCTTGCAGTCATTACCCTCCCATACAATTGCACTTATTTTTTCTAGCCCTGGATTCAAAGTGTGGATCCAAGGTAAATGACTCTGGGAAAGATAAGGAAAATATTCCATCAGAGTGAAAAATCTATTGTCATGTCAATACACCTTCGTCAGCAACACACTGACAAAAAAACATGCTTTAGACTGTCAAATATTGCTATATAGCATTTCTTCCCACTATATATTAACATCATTCCTCAAAATCATCCACTTCTTTTCCAAGAAACAGTTGTGAGTACAGGGGTCTCTCCTCCAAACTCTATTTTCTAACAGTGATGAGTTACTGTGATTTAAGGATTTATTGGCTTTTTTTCATTCAAAAATATCAAAGAAGAGAGAAATATGAAAACAAGGATCTACTTATAAGTCATCCTTAATTCTGCCATGTTTAATGGATTTTTAAATTATTATTATTCTTCCCCTAACATTCTGCAAAGTATTCTTCTCAGGTTGAGCCCAAGGAAAACATTTTTTTTTCTATTTGCTCTTATTAATATTTGTGTACTTTACAATCCTTGTTAGGAATAAAGACCCCCCATATGCAAACTATATTTGGGAAGACTCAGAGCTCTCAGACTCAGAGGTAGGTGTCTAATCAATACACGCTGCTCCAAGAGCCAAGCAATCCCAGGCCAACCTACTGAATGCACTTATTGCTGAGGGACCTTTTTTTCTAACCACAGAACAAGTGAAAATTGAAGGATATGAGAAATGTTGAGGTGACAAGTTCTGCTGAGGCCATTTCTTGACTCTCCTCAGCCCTGTCTCACTTCTATCCCATTCAGGTGATTAAAATTGCTCTCAGCTTTAGTCACCTGGCACTATGTGCATCACACACTACTGAAAGTGGTGGTGCTGGCTGGGAAAAGGGCATGATATTATTTTTTAATTTTAACTTATCACTGATTAAAAGTAAACCTTTATTTTATTTTTATTTTATTGCTTGCTTTATCAGTGTTTATCTGAAATCTTTGTATTCTGCTAAGTGCTCGATTATCTCCCCTTTTATTTCCATTGGATGAAATAAAATTTTTTATATTATTTAAACAATGCAAATATTTTTTGCAGGACTTTCTTAGCCACAGATTCCCAAGGTCTTCCTCTAGAGGGAGTATCAACACCAGGAGCTGAATCTCAAAAATTCAAAATCTGCAATCAAACAGAAAAACCTTCAACCGCAGAAAACCCAAGTCAATATACACGCTGCAATTCAACTCAGTATTTCAAGGCTTACACTTTTGTGTTTTATGCAATGCAAGCAAGAAGAACTAAAAATAAATCAAAAAAGCAAAGACTGCATGAAATTCAAACTGTTATCTCTTTTGGTTTTGGGGGATTTTTTTTGTTGGGGGGATGGAGGGAAGGCTTGGCTTTGGGGAGCCCAACTTTTTAAAACCAACAAATACATCATTTTCAATTCCGGCTATGAGTGAAGAACCTGTCTTTTGAAATTCTTTTCCTCAGTAGCATTAACATCGTCCCTTGCATGACATTCCTTAGTTCTGATGATGCACTGCCCATATATATGACTTGTTAACCCAGAAGGATATTTCACATTCTCTCCATCTCTTTACTTAAATGGTTTAAATTAGCCATGTAATTAAAGATGAGATGTACTACAAATAAAACTGGCACTGAACGGCACATATGAACAGTTTTCATGAAATGAAGACTAAAACTTGATTGTTAATGATTGAGTATTAATAATGCATTCTGTCCAACATTAGCCTAAGACATATAACAACTGAACTGCTATCCAAACAAACACCAAATTTTCAGAAATTACTGTCTATATGCTGCTACAGAATACCATTAAAGAAGGGAAATTAAATTATTAGCTTTCAGGCAAAAAAAAATAAGTAAATAGAATTAGGTATATATAGTATACATGTGACATCATATAAATACATATATATAACATTAGATACTGTGTATGTCATCTTTCTGTTTGATTTTTCTATATATATATTTATACATAAAAAACCAGAAAGATGTCTGATAAGTGCTTACAAAAAAGTAATTCCACTAGAGAAAAAAAGAGGCGGGGGGAGATCCCATCCAAGACCAAAGCAACAAAAAACAAACAGAGAAAACAAAGAAAAACCTCAAAGAAACAAAACAAAACCCCAAACCAGAAAAAAAACCCACCCAAACATGAACTAGAACTAAGATTCAAACGCTCAAATATTCTATAAGTTTTCGAATTTTTGCATATTGTCATATCCTCTTCATTTGACAAATTAATTACTGAGTAGGAGAAATCAAATTTTCCTTGTTTTAATTCTATCAAATCACTTTGGCTTTGTTACTTTCTGTTATAGAATTCTTTCTCCCAGGCCTCCTGTGACATGTGATAAAATGGAAAATTCTGAACTTGTGTGTAGTGTAAAAAAAAAAAATCAAAATTGGCAGATACCAACCTGATGAAAGGGGTCATCTCTGTATTCTTTCTTCACACATGGATTCACTTGAGGGCTTTCCACATCTGTCTCACTGGTACAGGAGGAGTGACACTCTGCACAGTGCAACAGGTCCTCCCACAGCACATCTTCGGTTTCCGACTCCGGCCTCGCACTCTCAGAATCCTGCCTGGAGCTTGAACACCGAGAACTGCAGCTTGTACCAGATTTAGGTGTATCCTGAAACTGAAATTTGCATTGGAATTAACGCAGCATTTTTATTCTACACCGTTTCTTGGCAGAACAGTTATAAAGTTCAAATTAGTTAACCTGTGTTTGTCTGGGTTTTTTATGTTCCAATCCAACATCTTTCTCACCAGAAAGATTTAGATGTTTATTGAAGATGTGTCTAAGAGGTTGCACATTTTAAGACACTGTACAAAAAAACAACAATCCATGACTCCTGCTTTGTTGAGGAGAGGATCACACAAAGAAGAATCGAATCATACTAACTATTAAAAGGAAATAACAACTTTACAGATTTTTAGAACTCATTAGTTTAGAATTTAACAGCAACTATCAAGTTTCCAGCTATGTCTCAAACTTCTGAAGAATTGACTCTCAAAGTCTCCTAAAATCACATTGTTACTACTTACATATCTTCTCAGAGTGAGTTTGTTTGCAGACAGTAATGCATCAGGTAGAGAGGAAAGGGTACACATAGCTAATGCCAGTTATGTGCATAGTCTGCATAGTCATACAAAATTTTAATTATTTTAAATAATCTGCACTTGAGAAACAAGTATGCCTTATTAAACTCAAAGTTTACCCAGATGTTAGATAAAGAAAGAAAAATATTAAGTATGGGACATTCAAATCTCCCAGTGCATACACATGAAATAATCTATAGTTGTCTTCAGGACAAGAATAGGGAGTTTTTAACTACTTTCCATAATAAGCAGAATCCATTTCCTACAACACAGAGATGAAGTATTAAAAGCAATACCAGCCTACTCATTACCATCCTCTGGTAATTTCCATTCCCTCTTAACACAAAATTTACTTCTTTCTACTAATTTTTCTTGAGAACATACACAATTTTTTACACTGAAAAAAAAAACTAAGCAATGTTTCGACAGACATACTAACTTATTATCATAGAATCATAGAATCAGCTGGGTTGGAAAGGACCTCCAAGATCATCAAGTCCAACCCTTGATCCACTACCACTGCAGTTGCTAGACCATGGCACTAAGTGCCACATCCAGTCTCTTTTTAAAAACCTCCAGGGACAGAGAATACTTCCCTGAGCAGCCCATTCCAATGTCTGATTACCCTCTCTGTAAAGAAATTCTTTCTAATATCTAACCTACATCTCCCCTGGCACAACTTATGATTCGTAATGCATTACTATCTAAAGAAATGGTCTTCAATCTCTCTGAAAACTATGTATTTTATGTAAAAAATTTTGTAAATAAATATTTAGAAAAATTTGGTCTGAACTCTCTCATTTTACAAAGTGAGGGATAACATCAATGCAGAAGAAGTCTGAACTACTTTTTTCTTAAAGATTAAAAATTAAGTATTTATAGAAAGTAGTCACTACTGGATACCACTGAGGGCTGAAGTTAATAAAGTAAGAACATTAAAAAGACCTTGTTCAAACAACAATTAAGTTGACAAGTAAACATGAAGGTAAAAGAAAATGCAGGACAGAATCTGAGAGTATATCCACTGACTTCACTAATTTATTTTTTTTTTAATACAAAGAAAGCTTTCACTGAATCTAAAACTATTGTTTCATTTCCTTTGTAATTGTGTGGGGGAGGCGAGTTGGGAACAACAAAGAAAGGCTTCCTCTTTCATGGCATCAGTCAGATCAGTAAATGGGGAACAGGGTGAAAAAGTACTGCCAGACCTACACATGGAGCGAATTTTGTCTCTTTGGTTTCTGAAGGTATCTGCACAGTCTTCCCTACCTCTGAAGTACTCTATGCAAGAGAAAATATATTTAAGCTAAGAAAAGAAAAAATCAACTGTAACAGTGTCTTTCTGCTTCCTCTTGTCAAGCACTACAGCTGCACAAGGATACAGTCAAGAGACATCTTCTGTAATATGAAACAAACAGTTCCAAGTATCAACCTGCTCAATTATCCTAAACCACACATGCAAAAGGCATTAAACACTCAAATCAATAAGCCTTCTGGATCTTTTTAACCAAAGTCTGTGAGAAATAAGTGAAAGAAGATAAGATCATTTAGTAAAGTTTCCTATGCAAAGCATCAAGGCTTTGCAGTTGTGATCAGAGAAAGTAATATCTGAACCCTTCCAAGGAGATATTTCTTATATCAAGTAGAGAGCCTGCTCATGAGGCTCTGCCTATCAAACCCACCTGGCAGTAGACTTTTGTCAGAGCTGATTTTATTCTTTACACTCTTTGGTCACAGTCTTAGTGAAAAAACAGCAATACAGCCTTTAAAGTGTTCTGTATATCTGTTAAGTTGCATACCATTAGCAAAAAAGAGCATAATTTTTTAAATAAATAAATAAACAAATAAAACCACAATAGGATATCCCTTTCTCTTTCAATGTCTGAGTCCTTACAGTTAAGGACTCTGCTAATATGGAATCTATTAACTCCCCTCTTCATGATGGCATGAAGTCTCTTGAAATTTCTGAATCTTTATGCATTAACAATTTCGTTAAGACTTCATGACAATATTTTAAATTGTTTCAACAAACATGAGCGAATGAAAACTCAGAGTAAATCAGACTTCTCCACAAGAAAGCCAGTGAATCCAAAATACAAACTAAATGGAAAGAAACAGGAGCAGCAGCATGATGAAAATTTGTATATTGTCAATTACTACTGTTTCTGTAACAAAGCAAATTTCTAGAGGAGATAACCAGTGTCAAGAGACAGTAACAGAGTTGCCATAACCTGAGGCAAGATGTACAGAACATATTTTAGGCTCCTTATAACAAATTGGAAAATAGGATGAAGCTCAAACAAACTAAATTAAAACCTCTTAATTTCAAAACACTGTCATTAAACAAAAACAAAAAAATCTGTCCCCCATCAACGTGACTTCCATATAACAGACTACTAAAATCCAGTACAGGAGAAAAAAAAGTTTGAGGAAAACATATTTATTCACTAAGAAGTCAAGAAGTTTTAACAATTTACAGACAAGAAGCATTAGAAATGAACATACCTCCAGAGGATAATGTTTCTTGTAATGGTGAGATTTCCTGTTTCGAAGCGTACAATCACTAGAAGTGCGTTCCACATTGCGACGTAAAGAATATCCAGTTTCAGGCCCTTCCTCACTGGAAACTTCATCTGATAAGTTTGTCACAATCCTGTGAGTATCCTGGTGCAAGAAACACAATACTAGTAAGACTTACAGTCATACAGACTAAGCCTTGTTCTCAACTACTGAAATCAAACTTCTTTCTACACCTTTAGTATCTCAGCTCAGTTAAACCAGATATTAACGTATTTTCAAGTGTCAAAATTAATTGGTACCATTAGCATTATGAAACAGAAATTGTAACATCAAAATAAACATTTTTCAAATGAAGGGCTAGTTTATATTATACCCAAGAAAAATTCCAACATTCTTATTTTAGATGTGTTTTTTTCTCAATTGAACCTAGCAAGAAAGGCTTAGAGGAAATGTATTTACATTGGGGAAAAAAATTATAACAAACAAACAAAACCCAAAAAACCCCATACCAAAAAAACCCTAACAAAACTGTGATAGCAGACACTCTAACACAGAATTATCAACACACACAGTACAAAACTAACATTTACCTCTTCTCCCAAGGATAAGGTGCTACAGATTGCATCCTGAGATCACATATTTATTTCACTTCTCATTTCCCTGATTTTAAACTAAAGTTAAAGTAGCCCTTAGTAACAGAAAGTAACAGAAAGAAAAAGGGCAGCAAAAAGATCAACTGTGAAAAGTTTTTTTGTATATTCTCATTTGTTATGAGATCACCAGAAAGGACCTTGTAGAGTTTCCTTCAGAGTCTTCCTGTCATCAATGAAACACAAAAAGGACAAAAATAGCAAAGTTGCTCTCTGTGAATACAACAAACCCTTCCTCCCCCTGCAACATCATTCTCTCTTCCATGACAAACTCCATTTTCCGAGATGCTTCAAGGGCAGGACATTTCCCCTTTTTGACAGCTGAGTTGCAGACAGAAATAGGGACAGGCAGAACAGTCTGGGATGTCTTCTCTACTGTGTTTTGCACTGACACTGAAATGTTTTGATTTTCTTCAGAGGAAGAGATGAGAAGAAAGGACCCTATTCTAGTCTCTGCCAATTTCTCTTTAATGTGGGTCTTCTCACAAAGCAAGTTCAGCATAGAAACATCTCATCCATTCTATCAAAGAAATTTAAAACTGTTTAAAAATCCTTTTTCTTAAAAGTCCTTGATTTGATGAATTTTGTGAAGAATGTAAAATGCTTGGAACTGATAAGACAACTGAACCTTGCTATCACTGCTGAGAAAGCACCTCCTGCAGAGGAACAAAGTGAAGTTTTTGCTCTGAGATGAACCTTCATCACTTTCATTCTGACTTCATCATCATTTGACAAATTAATAATCTTCCTTCGAAAGCAACAAGCACACTTACTTTGTGATGACTGTGATTGCCGAAGACCTCTCTCGCTGTCGAAGTGCTCCACCCTGTCTCTTCTGGCCTGATCACTTCACAGCGACGCTCGTGGGCCTGCACACATTCTTCATTGCCTTTACCTGTCTTTTTCCCATCAAGGGACACGTAGCCATTATCAGTCTCTGTGGATTTATCTATTGAGTTTTTTGCTTTCTTAGACCTATAGTTAAAACAAATACATGTATTAAATTAATTATTCTCTCAATTATTTCCCAGTCTAAGTCCTGTTTATTACTCTCAGATCCTGTTCTACTACTAAGATGACCACAAACAAACAACGTTAACATTTGATGCAGTATTTGTAACTATTTAATCTTCTAAATAATACTCATTATTTTGTAACAATTTTAGGAAAGTATAAACTGTCAGAGTGTGTGAATGAAATGTCCACCATTATCTACTGAAAGAAGAGAAAAGGAAATATATTTTTTAAAACTAAAACTTTCACAGCAACTTCGGCAATAGAAGAACCACAAACCTCTATTCCATCTTAACGAGAAAAGAGGTATGATAGAAGTTGCTTTAAGAATTATTAATTCAAAGCAAGCATGCGATTTCCTGAAGCTGCAAACATGCCTTTTATTACTCTATACACAGACATTTTTTGTTGTTTTAAATATACTTTGCTTATTGACAACTCTGCTAAACAGAAGGGGATTTACCTTTTTCTGTATTATCCTGTAACACCTCAGTCACATCTTTAAATATATCTTACAAACACAATAATTAAACCTTTTTTCAAAGCATAAAATCTTAAGACTACTTATAATGGTGAAAAGTCTTCCATAACATCCTCTAGAACCAAGGCCCTTTACTAGTCAATAGATGTAGCAGCAAGACTAACGTAAGAAAAAGGCTTTCTCAAAGCAAACATTTGGATGATTACACTTTCAAACTAGAAAGTGCAGTGGATGAAGGAATGAAAAGGAATAACAGCTTGCTACCTACTTTTAGTCTTCGATTAAGTTTCTGTATTCTTAAAATAAATTAGATTTTCCTTGTTAGATTCTCAGAATGCTTGGTGGGGAAGCAGGGGGGAGAGAGGAAGAGGAGAGTGTTATAAATAAAGCTTCCAGAATTTTTTATTTTTATTACAAGCGGAACACTGGGCATAGATCATAGAACTACCAAGAATCTTTCCAGTTGATCTTGTGCTCCTATGAGGGAATATGTATTGCCTTTCTCTTTAAGGACTGAGGCATTCTGTGAGGGCTTGGATTACACAGTAGAAGATTAAATTCCTCTTTAGTATGTACATCAAACAAATTGGGAGAATTTGGATAGTCGCCTCACATTCCTTCCAAGATAAGGTATCCTACACATAAAGGGGAGTCCTGAACACAAAAATTCATTAGGAAGAGCTGGATAAAATGGAAAAGAAACCAAAAAGGACCAATTCTGTTGTTGGAATGCAGACAAAATAATGAAAAGAAGGGACAATGTTACCACGGCATTTCATCTTCCTTTCCCATCTTTAATCTCGTTTCCTCACCCCTGACTAGAAAAAATCTAACATTTTTATTTCTTTTAAAGCAAAGGAACTGCTGCTCCACTTCTCTTATGTGAAGCTATGGAACTCACCTAGTATTCTCTGACCTACTCCCAGAATTCTTGGCCAACTTAATTTCTAAAAGAATACAAAACCATCAGAAACACTTTCTGCAGCTACTATATATTTGCATGGATTAAGTTTTATTATAAGCTTACAAAAGTAAAGAGCCAGCACATGCTTTAGCATGTGTGGTGTGCTGGAGATCAGTCAGTGAGCCTCCTGTTTGCAGACTGTCAATGTGAGAGCTCACATAAGGAGCTTGAATTTTCTAGGTCCATTAAGATAATCTAAAACATTACTGAGGCTTTGGACAAAAAGGTCAAGCTATCACCAGTAAACACATTAGAACTTTATTTCTGTGCCATTCCTTAATGCCACTGTTTAGCCAAGTTAACAAAGATAAGACAACTGAAGATAGGGAAAGCTCCAGTTATTATTGAATGGAAAACTTTGCTTTTCCATGTTTGGAATAAAGCAAGTACTGTCCTTTAAGTGGCAACCCACTGTAAAAGTTTCAATAAGGTCAGTTGTGAGTACCAAGGAAGTAGCACTAATATTAAATTATCTGCAATAAGGAGGAATCCAGAGCAGCAAACTTGTAATTCATTAAATATACTTCCAGCACTATTTAAAAATTTCTTTTTAACAGTGCAAAAGCAAACACAGTTCACATCACATGCACACACACATGCAGACACACTTCCTCCACAACAGGAGCGGATTAACAAGACTATTCCAAGTTTGACTTGAGAAGTTTTTATACATTTTATAAAAAACTTTAAAGCTACTAGGAAGAAGTAGCCTCAAACAGTTGAATAAGAACAGATAAAAGAAAGAACTTAGACATGTATGAACAGTTTGTTCAGACGGGATTTCACTACTCCAGCAATGTTTAAGTGCTAAAATCACAAGAGGAATACTACCCGTCTGATATCAATTAAGGCTCATTCTGAAAAACAGGTAGCTTGTCTGAAGTCTTTATTTGCTTCTAACATAAAAGCCAGTTATCTTTTGTAAGAATCCCTAAGTTTAAGTGTAAGCCTCAAGCCAGAAAAATATACATTTAGGCTTAAAATTAGACTTTTATGCACTATATTGTGCTAAAAAACAAACAAAAATTTAAAAAAAAAACCACACCAAAAAAAAAAAAGTTTTTCCCTAGCAGACAGAAATGTATAGTTTCCTAGAATTACTATATATACATACATCATCAATCAACTTTTACAGTTTTATGCTAGAACTAAAAGTATTTAGAGCAAGACAGACAATGCCATGAATAAATCCAAGGTCTTAAAAGGTCTGAACATGTGCAACATCTAAGTCAAGAATGACTTTTAGTCTTATTTATGCATTAGCTAGAGAAAATACTAAGGAAGATTTAAATCAAATTTCTGGAAGACTTTAGATTTTCACTGTCAAGTACTCTATTCCAGTGTATTACCATTGGGGTTGGTCACAAAAACTCTCCTCCCTGTTCCCATTGTGAAACTTTTAGAGAATTTATAAGATTTCCACTGGAGTAAGGACACAGAGCAAAGTCCCAAATCAGTATTACCTTCTGAATAAATCACCTGTTTGGATATTGCCTTCTTTTCCAGTGAAACTAATCAGTATTTTCTAAACTGCCACTGTGCTAGATTAAGGCACATAATTATATTTTATCAGTCAGACTGAGTTCTTCCATTCAAAAGGATATTTATTGAATACACAGTTCCAGATTAGCAATGACCTGAGTGTAGGCAAATGATCTAAGTACAGAGGCTCCTGCCCTAAACCAGAGAACATAATTTCTGAGGTTAATTTTGAAATCATGTATTTATAACCTATATTTAAAACTCCAGAAAATGTATGTCAAACCTTAATATATGTGAAAAACTGCTGTAACTAAACACTAATGAGACAGTCTAATGTGCTTATCTAAAGAGCTCCCAGATATGTCTTAGGAAACAGGACAGACATCACTGTGAAGCTACCTTGCACTGAGGTTTCCTAAGACATTCTTTAAGCAACATTACCAAGTGGTCAATGTACTCCACACTGTGCTCTTGCTTCCTCACTCCCAGCCCCACTCTGCCATCCCACACTGCTGACAAAGCTGTTTGCATTACCATGAAAAAAATTACACGAAGAAACTGAACTGCATGGTTGAAAAAGAGGTTATTTTTTCAACAGGACAAGTTCCTCATATGGTTTGTATGGTTCCAGACATACAAACAACTGTGCCTCTGCAACTGAAGAGGTGACAAAGGACTAAGGGCTATTTACAGCATTCTCAGTCACTCTGTGCTCTTTTATCCTTTGAAGATACTGTATATGCTAAGTAGTAATCATGGAGGCTTAACATCTATATATATATACACACTACCCCTCATTAAATGGTTTAAACAAGTCTTTAGAGTAAGTTCCACACAGCCCTTCTCAACTGAAAACCGTCTGAGCCCAATAGGAGGAAAGGTATGGAAAAAATGAATCTTCCAACACTTCTCTTCTTATTGAAGATCAGTATCTTCAATGAATGGAAAACATTTAAAAATTTACAAAGTAATGCATTCAGACCTGAAGAACAGCCATGTGACCTACATGTGACCTACGGTTTATCAAAGCTAGATTAATCTACACAGGAAAAAGTCAAGTTAACTCTCCTCTTGCAATATTTTAAAACATTGTTAAAACTTCTTCAAGGTTTCAAGTAGATATTCCCAGAATATCTTATAAATAACTTATATAACTTATGTAACATAACATAAGTTTTCCCAGTGGTTAAGAGCACATATCACAGGTATGAAAGACATATTAGTGTTGCCATATTTAAGATGCAGCATGCACAACAAAACATCAATGTAATAACTTTGCAGTATCCCTTTTCTCAATTTCACACTACTTCATGGGCATATTTTCACTTTTTAATACATGCTGACACATAGCACTCAAAATACTGCATGTATAGCATATCTTGAACACATACTGCTATAGAATGTTTGGTTTTTTTAAAAAACTTTTTAATTGCCCAGAGCACTACATCAGCAAATTGATCCTTTCCAAGACAGCTCTGGAATCCAACAGGTTTAGGTATTTCTTCTAATCATAACAAAACATATCTTCTACATTTATTTATAAACTAAACACTGTGCCCATTTGAATCCTGAAAGCTTTTCCTTCAGAAAAAGTGTGTGATTTGATGACAGTGACAGAGTTCAATAAGCATTCTTTCCGAGTAATAAGCAGCTAATGTAATAAAGTAAAACTGAAGAGTTGAACTGAGAAACTGAGCTGGTTTGTTCCTGATAGCCCACACAGAGTACTCCTAATTAAATGAAAGTTAATTCTCTACCTCACTCTCGTAAGATCCCACCTGGAGTACTGTGCTAAGCTCTGGGGCCCTCAACGTGAGAAGGACATCAATCTGTTGGAGCAAGTCCAGAGGAGAGACAAGAAGATGATCAGAGGGCTGGAGCACCTGTCCTATGAAGACAGGCTGGGACAGTTGGGTTTGTTCAGCCCAGAGAACAGAAGGTTCTGGGGAGATCTTATAGCACCTTCCAGTCCTAAAGGGGGCTACAAGAGAGCTGGAGAGGGACTTTTTAAAAGGGCATGTAGAGACAGGACAAGTGGTAATGGCTTCAAACTGAAAGAGGGCAGGTTTAGATATAAGGAAAAAATTATTTACTGTGGGGGTGCTGAGGCACTGGAACAGGTTGCCCAGCAAAGCTGTGGATACCCCATTCCTGGAAGTGTGCAAGGCCAGGATGAATGGGGCTTTGAACTTGGTCCAGTGGAAGATGTCCCCGAACATGGCAGGGGGGATAGAACCAGATGATCTTTAAGGTTCCTTCCAACACAAATTATTCTATGATAATTCCATATTTTTTCAAAATTATTGCATCAGCACTTGCAAAAGTCAAGAAACAACAATTAGTACATTTTCAAATACTGAGATGAGTTTGCTATTAAGAGCAAAAAACTAGATCAACAGAAGTTTAATCATTACATCAACGTTTACTTATTTAGAAAAGGGATAGTGCATCTCTAACACATACGTAGCCTTAAATAAATACAAACCCTGATAAAAAGAAAGCAGCATGCCAGATATCTCTGAAGACAGCGCCAATACTGCAAGAGGTGCTTGTACCGTAGCTCTGCACTGTTCCCTCCTGTGTGTTATCTGTGGTACTAGAGCCATCTCCTTCCCTATGTACTTCCAAATGTGCTGCTTTCCTTAATTTCCTTCATCAAAAGAGATTAAAATTGGAAAGTAGCTTTGTAAGTGCAATTTGCTAGTTCTGTAATGTGTTCAGCAGTTTAAGCATGCAAAAACAAGCAAGATTTCAAAAGTATTTTGCTAAAGTTTTATCGTATAAATTTTATAAATTCCATTTAATAAAACTAAACATTGCACATTATCATAACACTTAAACACAAAATAAATTTCACTTCATTATCAGAGGCTTAGACTACAAAATTCACTACTGCAGGGTTTCCCATTTTAATGGGACAACTCACAGTGGCAAACCACAGTCAGTGAAGTGCTTGGAAGAAAGGTTCTGCACTTCAGAGAGCATCACCTTTAATGTATGCTTCCCACAGATCATTGGACAGTATTGCATAGTTATAAAACTAAATTTGCAGTAATATAAAAATTGTCACTCTACCACTATTCAGATAGAAACTGTTTTGAGGCAAAAATTCAGATTCAATGCATTAAAATTCAAATAAAATTATGCATAAATTAGCCAATGCATAAAAGTTAAAGAGCACAGTTAAGCACCCATTTTAAAGTTTCAAATAAAAACAGAGCACTAATTTCTCATCTCTTGCAAAGCAGAGACTGTAACCACCTACATTTTTTTCATGCATGTTCTTTACAGAAGTTTAACAATCCTAAATGATAAAGTACTTTAACACAGACTATACCTTCTTCTTTTACCCCCTGTGCTAGGAGGTGGCTTAGGAGTTCGTGTTGAAACAATCTGACAGTGCACAGTCCCAAGTAGCAACATTAGCCATATCGGCCCAATGACTTCAGTCAGAGGTATATTATGTGGGCTTTGGGCTGTATAGAATAGCACTACAGCAGCAACTGGAAAAGAAGGGAAATGAAGTTGAGTTCAATATTTGAAATGTCTGAAATGGCCAACTCGTTATATGGCTTTTGTTAAAACCAAAACCAGTCAGTTAGCCCTTTACCTGCATTTAAATCACCTCATGTAATTCTGAGAGAGAAATCCTAATTGCTAAAAACCAGCAGCAATAGAAGTTTAAACAGTTGCCTACTGCCCTAATACCCATCTCTAATTTCACACTATATTATAGGTATTGCTCAAAAAATGGGTGGCAGAATGAAGGTGGGGAAAAGCATTTGGAAAGCTATATCTGTCATGAAACAACTTTAAACTACAGTGAAACATTTGCAGGAGAAAACCCCAACAAGCAGCTTAAACAAATGGAATTCTAGATCACCTATAATGACACAGCACAATCCAACAAGTTAAGTGAGACTTGAGACTAGAAACTCTGTATAGTAGAATGTATTTTAAACTCCATATTCCAGTCAAGGGACAAAATTGCCCATCTGGATAGATAGCCACTCGTAAGAGCAACCAAGTATATATTTCACATATACTTGTGTGTATATTTTTTAGCAGTGAGGAAAGATCAGAGACAAAGCATGTAAACTACGAGCTAGTTCAGCTGAAGTCACCAGGACTCTAACTAGCACTTGTGGTTGGAAAAGGAGGAGCTTCCAATTCCATCGCTAACTAATAATTTTGTAACCCTATAACCACTTTCCACATACAGCCAACACCCATCCAGCTATTCTTTCTCCTGTACCCAGAGCCACTCCTGTACCCAGAAACATTTTTACAGGCCCCAGGTCAATCTGAACACATTCACCAGGCGTGGGGCAGGCAGGAGAGGCAACCCCTCTCTTTTTCTGCTTATTCTATGTCCTTGCCACTCTGCCTCTCTGGCTTGGAGTGCTGTGTCTATAAATCAGCTGAGAGAAGCTATCAAAAAAAAAAAGCCCAAACCAAAAAGCACAGAAACTCCAAGACACAATTCAGAAACAGAACTGGGAAACAATTATATGTTCCTACCTTCTGCACGTACCATGAGAACTTGGTTTTGTTCTTGTACTACTAAGAAGTGAAAGTCCCATAACTTAGACCTACTCCTAGCTCAAGAAATACATGGTATAAGTTCAACAGTTTTCACCAATTCTCTACTGAAATTAATTGAAAAAAATGCAGCCAGATGCAAAGCTACGTGCCACATTCAAACACCTAAAATAAATCACATGAAGCCACACCTAACAGCAGACACCTGGACATGATGTTCTCCACTAAAAAGAGATTCAATGTGTTTTTCATTAACTAATCTTTCACAAGGTAACCAGTATTAAAAACATAATGAACATATGAAACAACTGAAATATTTTGATTGTGGAAAAACTATTTCTAATTACTCCTCAGTCTTTTTCCTAAATTAAAGCACAATAGTCTTGTACAGAACACACAGGGTATCTTTTATTATTAGGTGTGGAATAAGTTTTTGCTGCATAAGGTTTCTCAGAAAGACAGTATGCATCTATGAGAAATCCAACTTATTAAAAAATATTAAAAAAAAGTACAGATAGGAAAAGGTACAGATAATGTTGTCTCTTTCTAAATGAGCTTATCTAGGTTCTCACACATACATTAGCTTCATGAGGTAAAAGTGTAAAGAAGTAGCCAATTTTGAATCCTACCATAAAATTAGGATAAACATATTCTTCTGAGAACACAGAGCTCCACAGATCCATATGAAATGATTTGCAGGAGTAGGTCTACACAAAATAATTTTAAACTTCACTACTGCTACTTAATAGACATTTAGCAAAGCAGAGCTGTCTAGAAGAAATCATGTTCCAGAAGACAGGAATCTGTAGACTGGGGACTCCCACCACAACGTTTCACACAGATTTAGGAAAATGTTACCAATCTCCTGATCTTTTCAGTGGAAGGGGAGGGAAATCCAAGAATTTCTTTGTGCCCAGTGTGTAAATATGCTCTCCTTCAGGTTATCCAAGAATTGGTCCTACCAACAGGTAGGTAGGAGTGGCCAGAACAGGATTTCTCACAGCACTTTTACTTATTTCTTTACATATTTATAGTATTTGGACTTCCACTTTCCTAAAACACAGTGGTTTATTTTGTGAAACAAACACAAATGAAATTATATCACACTGAGCAAAAAGCTGTCTCAAAGAAAGCAATCATACATTTCAAAGACCAACAAGCATTTATTTTTAGAGCATTTAAGGCTTTGAAATACTTGTAATAGCAAATTTAAAAAGGCATACATACTTATGTATCTCACCACCACAGTAAACAACCATTACATCACTACTAAAGTTTCTTGCTTCATACTTAAGAAATACATGATAGAGATATACATTGTACTTTCACTCTTGATTTTTAGAATATAAAAACATTTTAAAAGTAAAAATGAAGTAGTATTACATATTAGATAGATAAGGAGTCACAAGAAAAAAGGTTTTACTTCTTCCTTAAGTCACTGGCCTGTTCTGTGACCTTGAACAAAAAACATTTGTCTGTAGTTCTCTTATCACACATTCTGCTAATCACTTTACACTAAAGGAAACCAATGCAAATAAACCTGGAGTTTAAATGTACAGCCAAGGAAAGAGCTTTTTCTACAGACTTACATAAATGCTAGCAAGTATCCTCTTAAACCTAATCAATTTTAAAGCAGTAACGCAGTTCATAAATCTATAGAAAACACTTCATAATTAAAGAAAATAATTTAACTAAACATATATAAACAAAATAAAATCAGACCATTTTACAACAATGTCAGTGAGAATCTGTCATGATGACAGAAAGTCCAAGCTACAATACAAAAATCCAGATTCAGGGTAGAATTATGGCTACTGGAATTTGAAATTTCTTTTCTTACATTTCCATCATAGATTCTTGACGTTTTGGTGCTGCCTTACCAGTCTTGTAAAAATTAGTAACTGAGCACAGTGCTTGGGGGGGTGGGATGGAGTGTGTTTTAAATAGTTTCCAATAAGTAAATCTGTCAATTTAATTTCATTTCCATGTTCTTATAATTTATTTCAAAAACTATCAAAAACTCTACAGCTAATTCAGCACAGTTTAGATATCAAGTATTTAAAATAGTTCATAGAGTGATATGGAATACAACGAATTATTTTATTTGTTAATTCACAACCTCAGAAATATCAGAAGTACTTCATCATGTTATGGGCTAGGGAACTGATGCATTCCAACCATAACTTAGTAAATCACAGATCTCAAGAAATCTGATGGGGTAAAGCGTTAATTATAAGATAGCTCTGTAATTAATGTCCTAAAAACTTGCTTGCACTCAGAATCTGCATTGTCTTACTATTTTGCTACATTTAGAGTCTTATGAAAACTCCACAAATTTTTAAAATAAATTTCCCAATAGGAACATAAAAAATTACTGTTTCTTAGAATAAGACACCTATGACATAGTAACTAACTACAATTTCTGTCTTTTACTACCTATATTACTATAAATGAGATTAAAATTATTAACACTATGACATCTCTTACTGTAGTATAGACAAATGCTAATGTATGCAACAATACTTCTTACGAACCAATTTCAGAAATGAGGATAAGAAGGACTTTTGATAAGAGGCCACATGAATATTTGCCAGTATTTCAGGTCTTGAGGCAATGGCACTATGAAAATAATTTTATGGCTGCTAACATCACCACATGAGGTACGGTCATTTTTTTTTTTAAAGTCCCTATCTTTTTTAATTAAAATTTCCAAATGATATAGTGATTCACAACTGAAAGGACAGATGGCAAAAATTAAAAATGTAATATTGTATCTTAATTGATTTCAGTGGAAAATCTATTAGTCATTTAGCTTCTCAGGGTACTTAAATTGCTCCCAACTTTCATTAACCTTCTGTTCCATTTCTGTTGTACATACTTCTGAAACACTTATTCTTCACCCTTTTAGATACTGACTCACTCCATTACATTTCTTCCTTTCTAGTTTTCTTCTTATATATTACATATATTTAAGAGAATCACAAAGTCAGATTGCTCGAACTCAATACTGAACATCCGAAAAGTTGTGAACTCCATTCTGTTTGTTAACAGTTTCCCAATAGCCCTTCTATAATCTAGGAAACATAAAATTAAGATGCATAGTCTCCCCATTGCAGTAGGAAAACAGCAGAAGCACAGAGGACAGTAAGTCCCTCATTTGCCAGTCATTCAGGAGCACAGCTGAGGTCAGACTGAAGTAAGCTAGAAGGTCACTGCCTCTCATGTAACAAAATAACATGTGGAAGGACAACTGGAAACTGGTCCATCAGATCATCCTACGAGGCTGCACAAGCTGCACACACCTTGGCAGGCTTGGCCTTGCTTATTTCTTGATCAGAGCTCTTGATCTGCACAAGAACCAGACACGCCAAAAATTGAAGGCAAGATACACTCCCTAAGCCAAAGGTTTCTTCAATATTGCTCAGTCCTGAACTAAATTAGATAGGCCTGAAAACCTAAATTATACACAGAGGTGACAAATTAATGTGTGTTAAATGCTGAAGACAGTCTATGAGGAGATCCTTAAATTTTTCATTTTGTCCCTAATATATATGTAAAAGAAATGTTAATGAAGAGACAGAAAATATTGGAATGAACCTTAACAGCATAACATGAACCAAGCAGCATACTGCAGCTTCCATACAATTAAAATAAGGCATTCAGTTGAAGCTGATGCTGTAATCCAACTCTACCTTGGAGAAGGTAAAGAACAAGCAGCCAGAAAAAAATGACCCGTGATGTCACTTGTAGCCACCACCTGAAGAAGAACGGAAAGAAAACAACTCTCACGATTCCTTTGCGGGTCAAAGATGTCCAAGGACTTTCAGGTTTTGCTTTAGCAAAAGCAGATCCTTAAAAAAAAAAAAAAAGAAATTTAGATTTATTTCATTCTTATGGCTAATAAAAAAACTCTAGTTATACAAAAACTCTACTCTAGTAGAGTAGTTAAGATAGTGAAATGGTGGAAGTACGAGATTTATTGTTTAATAATTGCTCCTTTAAGTAATTATCTCCTCCATCCAAAATTGGCATAAATTGTTGGTGCCCTCTTGGCTGCCATTATCAGGAATTTCCAAAAATACCTGTATTTTGGAATGTTTGAATAATAAAGCATTGGCATTTCTTACTACGTCAAAATTATTTTTAAATAAATTACTAAAAATTGTTTTTTCATAGAGGTATCAGAAACTTGTTATTAAACAATAAGAAGTCATATGAAAACTACATGTAAATGCACGCACAGCAGAGCCCTTTCCAACACAGCAAAGGGATCTAAAATATCAACATCTGTAAATGGCTCCAGCCATGTCATTTGGGAAAATGGAATAAGGTTGAGAAGCATTGAAGTAGATCTGTCCAACTGAGGACTAGCCTCAGGAGCAGGGAAGCCACCCAAAGAATATTTTTGTCTCTCCTTCCACACCATTTTTCATCTCTCTCATTCAAATGTCCTTTCTCTCCATTTCTTTTTCTTCCTGCAAATTCCCAGCTAGAAAATGTGTAACATTTACTTAATGGGGATGTGACTTAAATTATGCCAAGTTATTAACTGGAAATGGCAACTACTGCATGCTTCTATGCCATCCCCACCTTGTTTACCAGCAGAACTGGTATTAGTGAGCTCCGTGCTGCCACAGGTAAAACACTGTCAGCACTGAAATTGCTTTAATGCCAACTTAGACACCCATGCAGAGCAGTCATTTAAATGCTATTCACTTACATCATCATACTGAAGTGGTCTACCCCTGTTTCTTAGTTTCTTTAAAGCTCAAATGTTATTTGATTTTGTTTCTTTCTCTCACATTCCCATTTTTAAAAGGTTATATTGTAATACTGCACACCCATAGATGTTAAAAGAGATAATGACAGGAGGGGGAGCCCAAGTAATACCCTTTTGGGGTTTTTCTGGACCCATCATTGGAACCATCAGCTCATCTCAGGCCCATATCCCCACGCCCAGATTAGGACAGAGGCAAAAAAGCAGGTGGAAATCCAAACCATGGAACGAACACCATGACCAGGCCCCTCCCAGGGCTGTCCCAGAAGAGCCATCGACCCCACTGTCCAAGTGTGAAACATTCACAACGAGTCTCTGGGAATAGCTCTCCAAGTCACCTCTCAGAGGAGAAGGAGATGCTGTCTGGGCAGGTGGGACTCACTAAGGGATGCAGGGGAAAAGCAGCTCAGATTGCACAGACTTACTATAGGACAGTTAAGGGATGAAAAATCTTATATTATCTAACCTTCTATTGCTATTTTGTTATTTAAAACAGGCAAGAAACAGTCATGGCCTGTACAATTTCTATTCTGCAGAAACTTCAACGTAACCTTTCCTCTAGATGTCAGAAGGTTTGGAAGAAGTTTGAGTGCCTGGCAATTGGAGATTTCTGAACTAAAAATTTTAAAATGTTTATCCATGATAATGCACAAGTTTTGGTTTTTTTTCAAAATCTAACTCTATACAGCAAAATTTAGATCAAATTCCTAAGCCTTCAGTTTAATCTAGACTTCAATATTTCCTATCCACCCACTTCAGAGAAGGGTTATATAGGGTTGCTGTGTTTTGGTTTGCTTGGGGTTATTTTAAACTTACTAATACACTCTTGTTATAAGACACAGGATGGTTGTTATTTTTATACTGAGAAATGCAGCTTTTTCTAGCTCAGACCTACCTCTTACAAGATCAACATCTATTAGGTCTGGTTTCACATGCCCTGTTTTCTTTGGTTTGTTTCTCAAACCCTGCAAAAGACAAATACTATCAAAACACATTCATGCAGATGACACACATTAAAAAAGACAAAAATATCTATGTGGTCAGTAATTGTATTTAACCTACACTGCTACTGAAAATTCAGACAAATATGTCAACTTCATAGATTTAAAGTACTAGAAATTAAACATTCCAAGGAACAATGCACAATAGATGCCTTTTAAACACTCTACAATCTAAACAAAACCCAACCAATTACTGACCCATGAGGCAGTTTCACAAACACAGCTACACACTGAGAACTCATCCCCCATAGCTTGGCATTATGCAGACAAAGTATGTACACACTTGCAAGAATTAGTAATACATGTCTATTAGGTTTTCAGAACTTTTGGAACAAATTACATTCCTGAATCTCTTTTCTCCTTAGATGTCTAACAAAACTTCACAAAATGCTTACATTGCAACTCCTTAATTCCAAACCTAGACAGCAAATCATGTTGCAATGCTGGAGCCACTAATCAGCAAGCTCTCAGAAATCCAAATTCTAGACAAGTTTTGAATTTTTTCTTCATAGTGAGTATAAATTAGCCAATTAAAAGGAGGGGAAAAAATCCCACACAATAGGAAAGCAGTAGGAAGAAAAGCAAGCTTAATTTGTCTTTTAGAAACAGCATCTTCCATCACTGAAGAGCCAAACTCTCTTGCAAAGCTTTCAAGTTTGCTTTTAATGCTAAAATGTGATGCTGTACACTCAAGTCTCAGAGACAGTTGTGAGTTTATTCTGCTCCCTTTAGATTAGACTCTTGGTCACATTAGCCAATAAGGAAACCACAGAGTACAATTCATGCAGAGTAAAATAAAATATTTCAAAAAATATTTAGGATACAAATGGAAATGTTATGAAAGTAATTTAACTGTTTTCATTCAAAAAGCAGTTACATTCAGTGGCAAACTGTACATTTCTACCACTGCCCTATTTCATCCACATGTAAAAACACTTATTACTTAAATGTAAACATTAAATATAGATGAAAGCATAAAAATGAAATTATTATCAATGAGAGACAGATCAGTGAAATCTGGAAATGTTAATCTTTATACAAACAATATCAAGCGAAATGTTCAACTGAGTGCAGCTCAAAGTATTTCTCACATCAAAATTCAACTGGATTTATTTTCATGCTGAAATAAAGATAAAATTAAAAAATCAAACTGTTTACAATGAGCTAGATATGTAGTCATTACCTGATGTGTCTATTAGAAAAATGGGAGTTTGCTTGAAACAAAACAAAATTAATACACAAAACTGAATCATGGGACGGACAAAAATGCACTCTGAGAATGACCAATACAGAAACCAGTTGTACTGTAGACTTAGGCATTGCAAAGACCTTAGTATGCAAAATTTTTAGAGAACAGCAGTCCCAAAACTGCAGGAACTTTATGCAGAATGAGAAAAGAAGCCCATAATTATAATTGGAAATTATAATCTAGAATCAGCTACAGATTCTTGTGAAATTTTGCATAAGTGAGCCATTCCATTTCATAAAAAGATCTGAAGTTTAAAAAGAAAATGCTGAATGACATAATAATTTTGAAATGTATTAGTGCTTACAGGCCACAAGATCTTTCTTGGAAGTCTAAATAAAGATGTGCCTCTTAGAAGAAATAATCCCCTGGAAAAATACATATAATCCTTGGAAAAATGTACCACTGTGGCTAAAATTATGTTTTCATTTTAAAGAAAGAATTCTGAAAAAAATAAGTCAAGTGTATAACTTGATGCAACTTTCATGGGAAAAGAAATGGTGACTCATTCCTTAAAAATTCCATTAGTCAAACTGCAAATGTTTTCAGTGTCCAAAGACTACACTGAGTTGGTTCTTGTACTTTTTGCCACACACAGTGAAAGAATTCCATTTATGCAGATGCAATTTCTCCACTCTCTCAATGCATCACAAATGTCTGTAATATATATATGGAAAACAGCAGTGTTTCAAACTAAGGTTTTTTTAAAAAATATTCATAGCGTTTCATAATGCTCAGATCTATCCAGTTGGTTCATATAATTTCTATTCAGCACCAAACACATTTCAGTTAAGTAAGAGGAAAAAAAAAGTTTAAATTAAAAATACTTAAACGTAGGTGCTATTATTGTAAAAGTCCTTTTACACAAATTTTAAAATTAGTCTTAATAGACTCTATTATAGTCCTAAATAAATTATCAGTTTATAGTAAGAGAAACAGATTTTCTACTAAAAATAAGAAGTTTTCAGATTTTTAGTAAAGTTAGTTTATAAATTATTATAATATTATATAATATACACATATATTAGATATATTCATAAATATCAAAGTACTGTAGGAGCTTTGAGATTAAAGCACTAATGTGCAATACCTAAACTTGGCCGTGTGCCTCACTGTTATCTGTACTGCACGAAACTCAGTCAATGCAAACTGATACAGACACCATCAGTAGTTTGTTAGTTATTGTACTCCTGAGCCAAATGAGATGGATATAGATTAAGCACAGGGCAATATTTGCAATAATTATTTGAATGATGTGCTATTACACAGCAGTTACAAGAACTCCTGTCATAGCTGTGACTGGCTTTCATGACCATGGGAAGGACCCTTCAGGCACCCTCGGGCTCAGCCACAGGGCTGAAAAACCATTGGGTCTGACTTAATGTGTTTATTTCTGTACAGAAACCAGGGAACTCTGTAGCTCAGGTCAGTAACAGTTTCCACAGAAGGCAAGCATGTCCCCCTGCATGTTTTATTTAGCTATTTAAGGACTGGGGCAGGAAAAAAAAACACCTCCAGGGAAACTGAAGCAATGCACCTTTTACTGATGTTAAGTATTAGCAACATGTTGAAATTTGTGCAGCAGTACCATACTTCTTGCATGCAGTGTTTGAGCAAAAAAAGGTTAATTGCGAGAAAACGTTAACTGAATTAACACCACGGAGTGTGACATAATATACAACCCATAGAACTATCTTATATAGGATCAATTTTCTCCAAAGCAATTTAGCAATGTGGCAGACACTGATGGCACTGTTAGTTAAACCAAAATGCACAGAACACTGTTAACTTGCTTGTTCAGAGAAACAAAGCCTGAGGTACTTACCAGTCTAATAAACTGTACAAAACAATGACAGCATCATAAAGGAGGAAAAGTAAACTGCAGGTATAAGGTAACTAACTGAAAGCAAAGAGAGCTCAGATAACTGACATTAGAATTCATCACAAAGAAAAGTGAAAAGACAGAGGTAATAAAACAACTAAGTCCTGGCTTAAGATAAGTGAAAAGAAAAAAAAAATGTACTGAGATACAAAAATGTGTATCACACTAAATGCTGCAGAGTTATTAATTATGTAAAATAAATAGAGCATAGTATACTAGTTACATTTGGTTACACTCCAGAAGTCTAGTTTTACTTTACCACTATTAAATACCACCACATACAATGTAAATTACATGAGTGCACACAACCACCAAAAGAAACAAATGTTGAAATGCTGTATTATTACCTTTATTTCTCTTTGCTCTACTGACTTTTCCCATATTTGTTGATCATATGCTCCAATCTAAAAAGAATATGGAAAAAAAACCAACATTAGGATTTTAAAAGACATTGATCAAACAAAATCAATCGACCTTCAATGACAGAAGCATGAAGCCAGCAGGTTATTTGCTTGGAGAGGTTTGTTTACAAAGGAATCTTTATCTTCTCCGCTCCATCTTGGCTGGACAGGATCTACCTAATCCGTACAGGAGTTGTGATACAGGACACAGATGAGCCAGGCAGCCCCAGCCTCACACCCGGCGTTGTGCAAGTCAGATGACTGAGAAGACCATGTTCCCTCCCACTTCAGGTCAGGATTCCAGTCTCTGTACTGGAAGAGCAGAACTATGGCAGCAACACTGACACGGTCTTTCAGTTAACTTTACAGGAATACCACACATATGTAGCTGAACTCATACCTTCAATTAATTTATTCTTTTTTTAAACCATCTCCCTCTCTAATTCCCATTTCGTTCCATCCACTTTTACAGCTACATGGTCTTTAGCGTTATCTCTTCAGAGCACACAGCAACAAGATATCTGGTCAAGCTGGTAATCAACTAGATTATAGGCCAGGGGAAACTCAAAGAATATCAGGAAACTGCCCTTTTCCCACCAAAGCACTGAAGAAAACGTGTTCCTAGTAGACCTATTCCCAAATTTGTTCACTCTCATTTAGCTGCTAGGCTATTTATTCGTGAGGCTTTTCCAAATAACTTAGTTTTATTAAACCTGAGCAAGTTTTTGGTTAAAAAATTGAAATAGGTTAAAAAATTGAAATAAAAAATGTTTTCTCCCAGGCTCTAACCTTACCTCAGTGTTGTAGAAAACTGTATTTGTGAGAGCAGAACCACAGACTGTTGAGCTTTAAACCCAGTCAGCAACTAGGCACCACACAGCAGCTCACACATAGCCCCAGAGCAGCTACTGTGAAGAAAATTAACTCTATGCCAGCCACAACCAGTGCACATTGGTCTTGTAAGCACTTATTAAAATCCTAGCACTAAGACCAGTTTCGATGAGTTCTGTCATTTTAAATAACCATCAATACAGGTAGCTATAGTTAACTTCAGAAATTACTGTGCACTTATTTATCCAACATAGAGAGCCACTCTATGACTGTCAGATATTTTGAAGAAGGGTAACCTTAAACTTCAGGAAATTCCCATGTAAGATAGTGACAAGAACAACTCAATATATGAGACAATATATTCAAGTTTTGTAAGAAGTTATCAAAGATCATCAGTGCTTTGAACTCTGCACAAATAGTATTTCTGGGTAATATTCAGTAATGATCTGTTTTATTCTGGCAATTTGAAAGCCTTGCCATCCCAGCAGTTCTACCTCAACATATAGATCACGTGCACACATGTGTGCACACACTGTTGGTATCTGGGGTTTGATTCAGATGACAAACTTTGAGCAGTTAAGTGCAGGATCACTTTTAGGTCATGAGGGAGAGACAGATGTGGTTCCTGAGATCCTTTACTAACATGCAGAGCTGATACAAGCAGCTCAGTCAGATGCCTGACAGGCAAGAGGAACAACTCCCATTATTTGAGCAAATCTGCTTAAATTCAGCCTTACTGTAAGGGTATGACTCGTCCTTCCAGTTCACAACTGCAACAGACACAAAAGACCCAAGCACAAGTGCACACACCTTGCACCAGAAAGCATTATTCTGATTTCTCTTTTATTATTTCAGCCTTCATTAATTTAGATGTTATAAAAGAAACAAAAAAAAAAACTAATTCTTGGTTAAAAGAATCTTTTAACCAAGGACCCAACATAAATGCAAAAACATACTCAAGGAAGCCAGTAGGCAAACATATCCATAAACAAAGAAATCTAAAGGCATCTTTTGTACCTCTAAACCTCACCAATCATGAAAAAATACCAATAATAATAAAAAAATTTCTAATTTAGAGCAGTAAAGCCCAAAGCACATCTAAAATTCAAAGTGAGAACAGTAAACTGAATTACTGAATTGTCCTTTCTCAAATTTAAATAATATTTCCCACTCACAAAAGCTAAACAATTTCTATAGTTTGCTACTTTAAAACTTTGGGGAAAAAATCTACTGGCTTTTTGGTAATGATAAATACTTGACACCACTCATTTGTAAAAAAAAATGAGACTGTGAAAAATAACTAGGGAGTCAGGCACTGTACTGGGCAGAATTAAGCACTTACTACAATTAAAGTAATTAAACCAAAGGAAGTTTAACAGCTAACTCCACCTGGATAACAGCCAGCAATTAAAAAGTCAATATATTGAATAACCACTCCACCCAGCATTTATATCTAATTGTTCTGGCTTTTACTCTAAATACATTTCAAATGAATTTTCAGGCCTTCCTGGTTTTCATTAAATTTGCTAGGAAGAGCCCCAAGTGAAATTTTTGTGCTGCATAATATTGTGTCCTTCCCTTCCCACTTCAAAAAAAAAAAAAAAATTCTTCCTACAAGGACAGAGAAGGGGATGCAAGTCTGTGTCCCTCTCCATTATGCAAGAACCAAATGCGGAAGGAAGCCTTTGTACCAATAAAGCTGCAAAGCAAACCCTATTCCTAATTCCATTCATAGCTGAAACTGGTGTAGAGTTGAAAGTCTTTAAAGCAGCATTCTTCTTTTAGACAAATAACAGACCATTTTTTGAAGGAAGTCTGGGAAACACAGATTCCAGAAGACATCTGAGGCAAGGAAGTTGACTGATTAAAAATCCTACAAATATTCCTTTTCCCTCCCTAGGGAGCACAGTTTCCATCTCCACATAAAGACAAGAAGCAGGGATTTTGCCATTCACGTTTTTCTTTAAATGTTGCCCCATAAAGTAACTTTTCCAGCAGCAGGTAAAATAAAAGCGTGAAAACTACTTTAAAGGACATGGTCTTTTACAACTGTTTTATTGGAGGAGTGGATCTGTCCAATCACCTCTGATCAATTTTAGTTATTAAAATCTGAGCACAGGATTACTAAGTAAGGGCATACTGCTGCAAACTGAGAGGAGTTACAGAGAGAATTGCAGACAGCAAGTACCATTGCAATCTCTCACAATGTTTGGGGTTTCTTTTTTAATCTACCTAGTATCACCTCTTTGCATTTTAACAAAGCACTTCAGAGAGCAGGAATACATGCCCCTCAGCACATCAGATTCAGACCTGATACTCAAGTTCCCCTCTTCCCATCTGCATAGGCATCTCTCTATACTTCTCTTCCAAGTGTATCAGAGGAAAACACTTGAAAACAAAGCCATCATTATAATTAGCATACTGGATACTGGCACACTTCATTTACCACATTAATCAAAAATAGGTAGAACCACTGTTACTGAAACAAGACAAGTAAAAAACACAGGCAATAATTTGTTTTCTCTCCCTCACGTCAGGAAAGCACATCCAGAGTTTGTGAAATTCTTGCAGAACTCACTGAGAGGTGTTTTTCATTTACAACAAACTAAATTATAACATATAATGATTACTAGAAATGCTAGACACCTGTATGAATTAAACGCAAGGACATAATTTGTGAATGAATTGAAGAATGTAAATTAATATTAGCAAACCTTCCCAGTTTCAAATTATCAAGAGCACCAGTCAATTCCATCTTCGAAGAGTATTTGCAAAGTATTTGCATTTGAATTCTGTTTCCTTTTAAATCTAATGTAAATCTAAACCAAATGTAGGCTCTGGCTCTTGGCTACTCATGTAATTCTTTTCAATTGTACATACCTCCAGGACACTGAAAAGAAGCCTAGTATCTAGCAATGCCAAAGAAATTAAGGTCTAAAGGCAAAGAAAAGGAAGGAATAACCTTCCAGAGATAAGATCAGGTTGGAACTTGAAGAATTTAAATATACACAAAACTTGATCAAAGCAAGGTTTCCCTCAATATGCAACTGTCCCCAAGGCTCCTCCACAGGCATTCAAGCTTCCTTGTCTGGAACAGTTCCAAAATTAATGCCCTGATCAACTCCACTACTTATCCACTCCTGAACTCACCAGCTCTGCCTGGAGTCTCATTCCTTATAGTTACAAGTTCTGCAGTATCCTTCAGAGAAAATTTAAAGTATGAAACACGAGAGTCAAAAATATTGTACAATTTTTACGTATACAACTATAAGAAAGGTTTTTTAAATCTCTTCAAGACACAGTGCAAGACTGTTTGTCACTGACACATTCAATCTATCAGTCCAGTCTACAATTGGCAATAGACTTTTTTTTAAGCAAACTATACAACATAATATCCCAATTTTAATCTGATTTCACACATTTTATTTCATGAAATATCTAATCCAAAAGGATCTGAAAATTGTACTCTATAGCATTTTTTTATTTAGTATGATTTGGCAGAAAACAAGTTTACAAAAAGTTGGATAACAAGCCTATCTTATCATTTTTAAATATATCTTTTATCACCAAGAATCAACAGCAACACAACCCTGTTGTAGGAAACTTGTCAGTAATACATTACAGATATTAGAACTTGTGGAATAACCTGCCTGCAGCAGAAGTAGATAAACTAGCAGATGTTATTTTATATACTCTTAGTTTAAACTGTGCATCTCAGGCCTCCTCAATGCCCAGAGTCTATCCAGTCTATCCAAATCGGTTATCTCTAAAGAGTTCAGTTCTCAAGACCCCATGCCTCAATAAACACCAAGGAAAGAAGATGAAAGGAATTCTGTTTCTTTATATATTTGCAGAACTAACAACCATTCTTCAAGCAGCTATAAAAATTTTTGGCATATAAGAGATTACATGCAAAGACTGACAACTACAGCCACTCTTTTGCAATGGAAAAGCAGGGGTTTAGTATCCTAAATTAACTAAGCATAATAAACTTTCCAATATGTTTTCTTGAAAAAAAAAGTTTTCTCACAAGTAATTAATTGTAAAAAAATTAACAAGTTGTCTGTGACTTGGCATGAGATATTAAGCTATGCAATTACACATTTGGTAAAACTAAACTCGTCTGATTGAGCTAGCTCTTTACTGAAAGATTAAATAAATTTCAGACCCTT